TATACCCTACATATACCTACATATACCTTACATAACCCTATATATCCTACATAACCACATATACCCTACATATTACACTACCAATTATATTAACCTACAAATGACATAAAAAAAGTTAAAAATACATAGCTTAGTTCTAGTTACGGTTTGGCACCTCTAGCACAGGTAATTGACCCATGACCTTCGACCCCTCTAAAATATCAAAGGCCAGGGCTCACGAGGCAGCAGCTAGCGTGCCTCCGGGCCAATAACACACACACACACACACACACACACACACACACACACACACACACACACACACACACACACACACACACACACACACACACACACACACACACTAATCTTAATTCTCCTGATTCTTAATTTATATCTACGAGACACATGCGATCAGCTAGGATTGGAAATAGTCAATCAAGCAGAATAAAGGTTAATAGGAAAAACCGCCAATTAGGTGAATATTATACACGGTTTATAATCTGATTAGGAGGAAATTATGGGGTTATTATATTGTGTAGTTATAATGCTCTATACTGTATGGTTATAATGCTCTATAATGTGTGGTTATAATGCTCTATAATGTGTGGTTATAATGCTCTATAATGTGTGGTTATAATACTCTATAATGTGTGGTTATAATGCTCTATAATGTGTGGTTATAATACTCTATAATGTGTGGTTATAATGTTCTATAATGTGTGGTTATAATGCTCTATAATGTGTGGTTATAATACTCTATAATGTGTGGTTATAATGTTCTATAATGTGTGGTTATAATGCTCTATAATGTGTGGTTATAATTCTCATTAATGTGTGATTATAATGCTCTATAATGTGTGGTTATAATGCTCTATAATGTATGGTTATAATGCTCTATAATGTGTGGTTATAATGCTCTATAATGTATGGTTATAATGCTCAAAAGAATATACTAATAATACTTAAGAATGCATAGTTATAATAATTAAAATTGAAGGCTTATAATAATAAGGAATAACTAATTATAATACTCAAGCAATGTAAGCAAAATGCTCCTAATTAATCCATCTATCACCTTTGTCAATAAGTCATGCAGGTAAAGTGAGGGTGACCTCGGCTGGCACCTACACTCTCCGGGCAAGATAGTTTGGCTAAATATATACAGTTAATTATATATTTACAAATGTTGACACAAGTGTAACTATATAGTCAGATCCAGGGAAGAGACCAAGGGAGTCATGCTACCTGTATGATGACTGTCATGCATTCATAAACAAACAAGCTAATCTAGACCTTCAGACCACTAGCAGGATAATGCCCAAGGGACACTGTAAGTAGAAAGTAATAGAAATAGTAAACATATTAATAATAGTCATAGCAATCTATTGAGACCGACAAGGGTGAGATAAAAGGGGCGGAGACCAACAGCTGATGCCGTGTGTCGCTCTGGAAAGTAAACCGCGAGGGTGAATAGTACTGCTGGCCCACACTCTCTATACTGTGTGTGAGTGTTTGTCTGTTCATTTATCCTAAAATATTATTCATAAGCCATCTTCACCATTCACTTTTCTATGAGGCTGTGTGGTGAGGACTTAGCACCACACAGGAACACAGGACAACATCACAGCAGCAGTCAACAGGGAAACACTACACACAACACTAGCCAGCCTGGTGATACAACTGCCAGACTTAGTGTGTATCTGAATCAACGTCATTCACATCTACAACATCAATGACCTAAATACATCAATAAGGACAGATATAAATTATTAACAATTGATCTATTTTTTCTACCATCTACAAAGAAAATATATACCTTATTTACCACATACTTCGACACACCTGATAAAATAAAAAAATAAAAACACAATAATGGAATCTTGACACAGTAAACATCAAGGAATAAAAGATACCTAAGAAGTAATTAGTAAAGACAGTAATAAGAGATAGTTAGATAAATAACAAAATATATAAGTCTCTCACTCAGACTACTTATCTAACTACTTCAAGGTTGCACTAAAGTCACACGTGTTCATCATTCCCCCCCCCTCCCCCCCTCATTATTCCCTGACACGAGAAAGCAATACCGGACATAATATAAGGAGGAGAAGGTGATAAAGGATGATATAAGGGAGGGGATGAGGGAAGGGGGAGGGGGCGGATTAACGGAAGAGAGGAGAGGGAGTGAGGATAAGGGAGGGAGGGGGGGTGAAGAAAGGAAGGACAGAGGGAAAGAAGAAGGAAGCAAAGAGGAAGAGGTGGGAGAAGAAAGAGAAGAAGACAAGATGAAGGAAGGAAGGGGAAAAGGAAGTAAGGAAGGATGAAAAGACAGAGAGAACGGGAAGGAGGAAGAGAGGAAAGGGGGAATGGGGCAGTACTATACCTTGTTGATATCCTTGTGAGGCAGCAAATTAGCAATGGGTGGTGGGGCCTCCTCGTCAGCCCGCCCGTTGATCGTGTTTTCTAAGGTACCGCCTTTGGAGTGAGCCTTGGGATCGTGTAACTTATACCGAACCTCCTGAAACAAGGGGAAACTTACGACCGGGCCGGGGAAAGTGCGTGGTGGATAATGGTAGAGTGTGTGGTGGATAATGGTAGAGTGTGTGGTGGATAATGGTAGAGTGTGTGGTGGATAATGGTAGAGTGTGTGGTGGATATGAGTAGAGTGCGTGGTGGATAATGGTAGAGTGTGTGGTGGATAATGGTAGAGTGTGTGGTGGATAATGGTAGAGTGTGTGGTGGATAATGGTAGAGTGTGTGGTGGATAATAGAGGTGTGGATAGAGTGGATGGTAGGTGTGTGTGGTGGATAATGGTAGAGTGTGGTGGATAATGGTAGAGTGTGTGGTGGATAATGGTAGAGTGTGTGGTGGATAATGGTAGAGTGTGGTGGATAATGGTAGAGTGTGTGGTGGATAATGGTAGAGTGTGTGGTGGATAATGGTAGAGTGTGTGGTGGATAATGGTAGAGTGTGTGGTGGATATGAGTAGAGTGCGTGGTGGATAATGGTAGAGTGTGTGGTGGATAATGGTAGAGTGTGTGGTGGATAATGGTAGAGTGTGTACATAAACACAATACAGATAATATATATATATATATATATTTAATTGAAATACATTATACATATATTGGAATGGTGTCCGTCCGTCCGTCCGTCCGTCTGTCTATGCTTATTATGTAGTAGGCAGCTACCAAACAGGGAGGTACTACCGCCTGGGAAGATATTGGAAGCATAATGTGTTGTTTAATAGCAGACCCTGCTGCCATTATATTACCAAGTCCCAGGTTGCTGATCTGACTTTCTGCCTCGTTTACACACAATTGCAGGGTCTCAATTGTTTCTCTTACATTGACAACACAACATACAGTATGTATATATCGGGTGGGTTATAACGATAACCTACACAAACGATATCAAAGGGGTCAGCATTCAGACTCCTTTTCACTGACCCATTTCAACAACCTTTGATAAAATGGCTCGGAAACGACACCGAGACTCGTATTACCATGCCAGATACTGTACCTTGTCACGTCTCCATTTACGGGAAGAAATTTGACCTACGAATCTATCAGAATCTGTGACCACCCCCTCCCCTTTCCACCCTCAATTATCACAAACACCTGTACCAATATCATAATAACCCTTTCGTCAGGTATGTCACCGATTTCCCAACAATTTTGCGACTAATTACGAAGTGTATTAATGACCTCGTTATTGCTTAACTACCAGCTTTCAGAGTCAGCTTTCAGTGTCTCTAATTATCGTGGGGGCAATGCAACCTTATTTAGCTACCGTGTATACAGCTTTGGGATAATACTAAATTCATCATTTATTGTTAGACTGGTTGACTGGCTGACTGGTTGAGTGATAGACTGGTTGACTGGTTGAGCGATAGACTGGTAGACTGGTTGAGTAGTAGAATGATAAAATGGAGGACTGGTAGACTGATAGATTGGTTGATTGGTTTGACTGGTAAACTGGTATAGTGATAAAATGGTAGACTGTTAGACTGGTAGACTGGATGAATGATAGAATGGTTGAGTGGTAGACTGGTAGTGTGGTAGAATATTACAAAGGTAGACATAGTATTTGTCTACCAGTCTGATAGACAAATAATATGTCTTCTTGCAATATAACCCATTACTGAAGTGTTGCAATAACTGCCACTACAAATGGCCATAACACTGTAATTCATTATGGCCATCATACTGTAATTCACAATAGCCATGATACTGTAATTCATTATGGCCATGATACTGTAATTCATAATAGACATGATACTGTAATTCATAATGGCCATGATACTGTAATTCATAATGGCCATGATACTGTAATTCATAATGGCCATGATACTGTAATTCATAATGGCCATGATACTGTAATTCATAATGGCCATGATACTGTAATTCATAATAGCCATGATACTGTAATTCATTATAGCCATGATACTGTAATTCATAATGGCCATGATACTGTAATTCATAATGGCCATGATACTGTAATTCACAATAGCCATGATACTGTAATTCATAATGGCCATGGCACTGTAATTCATAATGGCCATGATACTGTAATTCATAATGGCCATAATTCTGATTAACGTCTTAACACACCAATAAATTTCTTTCCTAATAAAGATGAACAATTACCCCAAAAATTAAAGAAATAAAAGTTAAAAGTGGGTTTGAGGGCCTTTAGAAAGTGTGTGAAGTAAGTGCCTCACTACTAACACATAACGACTATAAGCAGATATAATTAAACAAACGTTGGAAGATTTATACTAACGGGAAATAGAATAAGAAATAGGAAAAAATGTATAAAGAAGAGACGAAGGCCAAGTATTGTGAGGTGATGAATCTACAGGAGCCTAGACTGGATTCCACGAGACAAGAAAAGACTCCTAAAAAAAACCGACAACAAGAAGGAGAGAGAGAGAGAATGTATTCAACTTTGAAGTTCTCACAATTTTTGACCCCAACCTTAACCTCCTAATCACCTCTGACCTCAACCTCGACCTTTGACCTCAACCTTGACCTCTAACCTCGACCTTGACCTCATCTCTGACCTCGACCTTGACCTTTAACCTACTCTACCATCGTCTAACATACATCTCTCTGACCTGACATCATTTACATGGCACTCATTATTGGCACTCCCAAGAGCCATCAACCTGGAGTGTGACCTAGGCGTTATCTCTACCTATCATCTAATTTCTTCTAAGTTAAATGAGCTCGACACACACACACACACACACACACACACACACACACACACACACTCTCCCTGTCAGACTCTATCATGTATTAGTCACGTTGAATTATTTTGGTCATGTACAGAGGGACTCATACACGTGCCTGAGTCATGTGTGTATTACTGTAATGTATATGTACACACACACACACACACACACACACACACACACACACACACACACACACACACACACAGTAACTTCACGGGTCGCTCAAACTCGGGCGAACATTAGCCAGACGTAGCCACCACAACTTGTGTCATTGAAGGGTGGATGGCAACGTCAGGCGGTGATGAGCGCTCGTGCTGGCGTAGTTTTAACTTCACGAACGGGATGGAAGAAAATAGCAGCCGCAATGAGCGTTCGTGATTGACTGACTCTAGAATCTTCCTGTGGTGATTGAATGACTCTAGAACCTCCCTGTGGTGATTGACTGACTCTAGAATCTCCCTGTGGTGATTGACTGACTCTAGAACCTCCCTGTGGTGATTGACTGACTCTAGAATCTCCCTGTGGTGATTGAATGACTCTAGAATCTCCCTGTGGTGATTGAATGACTCTAGAACCTCCCTGTGGTGATTGAATGACTCTAGAACCTCCCTGTGGTGATTGAATGACTCTAGAATCTCCCTGTGGTGATTGAATGACTCTAGAACCCCCCTGTGGTGATTGAGTAGAGGAGCAAGTACGAGGAGAAAGAGAGAGAGAGAGAGAGAGAGAGATTTACAATGGATTATATGAGGAAGGATAAAGGAGGAGGAGGAGAAATGTGGCAGGGATTCACAGGAGAATGGGGGAGAAGGAATGAATATTAGATAAAGAAGAAAGGAGAGAGGAGGAAGGAGAGAAAGAGGAGAAAGAGGAGAGGAAGAAGGGAAAGGAGAAGAAGGAGGAAGGAGGAGGAAGAGAAAGAGGGGGAGAAGAGAGGGGAGGAAGAGGAGAAGAAGAAAGATGAAGAGTGCAGGACGAGGAGAATGAGAAAGTGGAGGAGGAGGAAGGAATAATGAAGAAGAAGAAGAAGGAGTCAAGAATTAAATTTATCTCTTAACTCGGCAAAGATTCTATTAAGTGATTCTAATAATACCTTCATGCTTCCTTTGCCATCTACACTTACCGCGATTAAATACCTCACACTACACCACTCAGACACCACCCCACACCACCTACCACACCACACCACACCACACCACCCAGACACCACCTACAATACCACTCACCCACACCACCTGCCACCCCACACCACACCACACCACCCAGACACCACCTACAATACCACTCACCCACACCACCTGCCACCCCACACCACACCACACCACCCAGACACCACCTACACACCACCCACACCACCTGCCACAGCACACCACACCACACCACACCACACCAGAAGACACAGGTATAACAGCTCATACACAGAGTCCAAGGACGAGTCCACATGACCTGACTATCTCAAAATTCTTTCAACAGGAGACACGAAACTGACAAATTCAAAATTGTTCCAGACTGTCTCACTGCTCCGTCTTAGCTGTACAAACCATTCCAGTTCCCAAAATGTTTAAAAGAATAAATCCTTTGGAAAAACCTTGACGATAAAATTATTCCAGACCGTCGCCTCTCTGTTCCTCTTTAGTAAGTACAGTAGATGTAAAATCCTTTCCCTAGTCCCTAGAATATTGAAAACTCCTTTTTTTTTATAACCACTTGACGGTACATCCAGGAAGACTTTATCATTGTTTTTCTTTTTTCTTGATATATATTTTTATTATAGGAAACAAATATTGATAACGGACGTGGTAGGTGGTTGTGAATGTTTGATGATGTGTTCGTGTCTGAGGGAGTGAGTTAAAGGTCACCCAGCGATACACAGCCGCTGCAGCCTCAGCTCAATACTGCAGCCCCACCTCAATACTTGAAGTTACCAGCCCAACCTCAATACTAGAAGCCTCCAGCCCCACCTCAATACTGGGCCTCCAGCAATACCCCAGCCCTCAATACTAGAAAGCCCCACTCAATACTGGAAAGCCCCTTCAAGCTACCTCCAGCCCAACCTCAATACTGGAAGCCTCCAGCCCACCTCAATACTAGAAGCCTCCAGCCCCACCTCAATACTGGAAGCCTCCAGCCCCACCTCAATACTAGAAGCCTCCAGCCCCACCTCAATACTGGAAGTCTCCAGCCCTACTTCAATACTGCAACTCTCCAGCCCAACCTCAATACTGGAAGCCTCCAGCTTCCACCTCAACAGCGTCCAACCACTGTTAAACAATTA